TTCATATCACATTGACACACCGGTTGCCGTAAAATCACGGAAATTAAGCAAAGTCGTCTCTGGTCAGTACTTCGATGTGTGACCGCTTGTGAATACCAGGTGCTTTTGCTTCGATGAATGAACAGCGTAAAAATAAAATTAAAACAAAAACGTCCAAACAAAATTAGAAAGATTTAACATGAAATTCCATTTATAAGTAATAAGAATCACTTTCTCCGTGATTTTTCTAATTTAAAAAAAAAAAAATTAACTTCAGATGTGTTAGGCTAAACAGTGCTGGTTTGTTACAAACACAGAAACAAGGCATGTGATAATCATCCTCAGAGTTTTATCTGAAAGAGCAATACAAATGCAGAAGGGCGTGTACATATGTTTTATTGACGACGCAAAGGTGTTCTACAAAGTACGCCACAATGGTCTATTGGAACTGTTCAGCAACCTTGAAATATTTAGGAAATAATTTAGAATAATCATGAACCTATACTGGTAGCAAACAGCATGCGTGTGCATAGAGAATGAGTTCAGCAGATATACAAAAAGAGAAAGGGGCGTAAGGCAAGGATGTATCTACTCACCGGACTTATTCAACATATACATCGAATCAATTCTACCGGGATTCATCATTTGTGGCCACGATCTTAACATCATAAGATATGCTGATGACACAGTACTGATAGCAGAAAACACACGGAAAAATAAATTACAAAATCTCCTACAGATATTAGCGAAGGAGTGCGAGAAGAATGGAATAAGCATAAACTACAAGAAGACAGAAAATATGTTCATCAGTAAAAGGATGAGCCCATAATGTGATTTACAGGTTGGGGACACTAAAATCAAGCCGGCACGCAAATTTAAATATCTGGGAAGTGTTTTGACAGAGTATGGTGAGTGGGACGTTGAGATCCGAATACGTATTGTGATGGCCAAAGACGCATTCCAAAAGCTAGGCAAAGTATTACGAGACAGAAGGACTTCTTTTGTAACAAAGAAATGAGTACTGAGCTGCTACGTGGCATCTGTCCTCCTTTACGGCAGCCTAATTTTGGACGGTCTCCTCAAAGATGAAGAAGAGACTTGAGACAACTGAGGTATGTTTCTACGGAAAGATGCTAAGGATAACATGGACCGAACGTGAGAGCAATGATGAAGTTCTGGAGAAGATGCAAAAAAGGAGGAAGCTTATACTTAACATCAGGATGAAGCAGCTGAAATTTCTGAAATACTTAATGAGAAAGGAGTGCTTGGAGAATCTGATACTCACAGGTCGAATAGAGGGAAAATGAGACAAGGGAAAGGAACGCACACACACACACACACATTTTTCTCGGTGGAATGAAACTGGTAACTTGTATGCCGTAAAATAGATTACTTCACGATATCATTGGTCATTTTGGTCATTTAGTAATATTTAGTTTCATAAGAAGCATGCTGAAAAGTACTCGGCGTCAAACTCTCTCAAAAACTGTATAATTGTTCAAATGTCTAAATTTTTGAGGAGCCCTACTTGAATATACAAATATTGGAATATTTTTGCTTCATGTAGCTATAAGTTGATCGAAACATAATGTCTCTGATTTGTTATTTTTGTATGATAAATAAGAAATTGTGCATCGACATTCAATCTAAAAATCTTTCGAGAAACTTATTCATTTAATCTATTAAAGAATTCAACATAAAACTTTGTCATACATTACGATGAAGCCCACGATTCTATGTCGTAGACAAACGAAATGTATATATTAAATCAAGATTTGAAAGATCCAGTGAGAGGACCCAAAGAGTGTGTGTTCAATACCCGGTTAAGGCAGTGGAGAACTTTCAGAGGAAAATTAACAAGAGATAACTGATAACTGACATCCATCAAACATGACACGTGGAACTTGAACAGTCTACCCCAGTGAACGAAATAAAGGGTTCAGTTTGACATTCCAACCACCTGAAGAAGGCCGGAGCGTACAGCAGGCGAAATGTTGTAATAAATATGGCAACAAAGATGAGGACAATAGTCCGAATAATGTAAATAATGGTGAAAGATGTAATAAGACATGTTTTATTGACAATGGAGTGAGTAGAAGCTTAGGAATCCGGACTTCAGCAAAGTCATATCCGAGAGAAAAAATGTTTCTACTTTCTCTTCAGATCATCAGGATTTAAATCTCTTTTAAAAGAAGCATAACGATGTGTGCTTCCGCACTGATTGTTATGAACTTATGCATAAATTAGTATTAAAGCAATACAATTGCTAAAGAACATATAAATATATTTATTTATGTTTTATCGATTATGCAAAAACGTATGATAAAGTACATCTCAAAGAACTATTGCATCTGCTGGGCAAAAATTGTCATATTTGCAGAGAATATTAGCATAATCCAGAACTTATAGGGGGAGCAAATCGCGTGCATACGAATAGAAAATATATACAGAAAGCTGTCTAAGACAGGATTGTGTCATATTAAAGAACTTACTTAATCATTAAAGTGAGGTGATTCTAAGAGAATCAGAATTCTTATCAGGATTTATTTTTGGCGGTTATAATATTAACAAATTTATATATGCAGATGTCTCAAACTTTAGAGCAGAGACGAAAAGAAAGCTACAGCAACCCCTGCAGAATGTTGTGAAGTCAGCAAGAAAGAAAGAATTAAACATACATACATTATAAGATACATTATAAGACGACAGAATATATTGCTGGTAGCATAAAGAAATATCCATCATATGAATTTCAGACAAGAGATAAAAAAGTCAATCAAGTATAAGAAATTAAATATCTAAGAATTGTTTTAACTGAGAACGGAAATTGTGACACATAAATTTGAAGGAGCATTGTGATAGCGAATGATGCCTTCCAAAAGCCAAGCAAATTTTTAAGTAAAGGGAAAAATTACACTAGAAACCATGAAGAGTAATGTATTTTTACGTAATATCATTTCTCTTATATGGCAGTGAATGCTCGACATTCCCTGTACAGATTAAGAAGAGACTTGTGGCAAAAGAAATGTAGTTGTAAAGAAAAATACTGAAAATAAAATGAATCAATCCTGTGAGCCGTTTTAGGGACAATGGAAATAAATGTATACTCATACATAACATCATAAAGAAAATTAGTTGATATTTCTAGAGCAGATAATTTGAAAAGTGGGCTTAGAAGACTTGAGGCACGGGACTCATTGCAGGCAAGATGGAGAGACGAAAGTAGTGCATAACGTCCCTAACGATCATATCTAAAGTGATGGCAAAGGTTAAAGTAGATAACTGAAAGATAAATTTTACTAAGAGCTAAAACTGTTAGGAAATTGTGGAGAGCCATGATTGCCTACGTACTGAAGCAACAGAAAAACAATGAAGAAAACGAACGGTGCATGTGACAATAGAGTACAATGTATAGATTCGAACAGATTTCGCAACAAAACTCATACGGTAAGGAATTAACTTCCATTCTTATGTCCATGTTGTCTGAAGAATGCGCCATATCGTTGGCATGCATTGCAAGGAGGAATGTTTTTCATGTGTTTAATGTATATGACGAAGTAAACCTGATTGCTTTCATCCTTTGATTGTAGAGTTCGTATGCTAAAAACATGCATGTATTCAAGTATTATAGAGTCGTAATGACAGCGATCATCGTACAGTGAAAAACCCAAGACTTAAAAATTTGAACACTGTTTAGCAGTACATCACACAGTGTTTGCCAATATAATACCAAACAAAAATGAATTCAACAACGTCAATACAATCTCTAGCTCATGAGAAATTTCTTACAAGGAATGCCACACCTTGATTGTGGATTCGGGTTTTTCCAATTACGATTTGTGGTAGAGAAATTAGAGCCAAATGGAAAGCAAGCGTTTTTATACTATCAGAGTGTTGATATCAGATCAGAGTGTTGATATCAGATCAGAGTGTTGATGTCAGATAAGTTTAGAGTCAATTTGAACTGTTAGTTTTTGATTCTTTTATGTTAGCGACATAAAGTATTAAACCTGTTCAGTAGAAGATAGAAAATAAATGTTAATTTAATAAGCAGCATGATGACAGCGTATCAAACGTAAGCTGCCGAATAATTCTTAAAGTGTAATTCTTACCTTCTAATCAATTTTTGTTTTCAATTGATCTGGTTACTGGAACCGATGCGCATGTTCAGAGGCTCCAAATAGACGTATCTGAAATTAAAGTAAATTATTAAGGCCGGCTGAAATCACATATGACTGGTAATTGCTGCTATTTAATACAATAAAAGGGTAAGTCAACAGAGAAGCGCAGCTGTGTCTCAAACATTTATGATCATATGAAAAATGATGTATTTTATGTATACTTTTTTTAACATTTTGAGTCACATTAAATCGTCTGTTGTTTCAATTTCTTTATGGAAATAGTATTTACATAAAAAAAAACACCCAAAAGAAAGTATTAATCTCTGCAATTTAATTAAAAGAAAAAAATAACTTTTCGGAGTTGATTGAGTTCTCATGAAATGTTGCCTTAAATGTTATATAGGATCACCTTTTTTAAATATAATTAAAAAGAAAAAGTAAAAGAAAAATTGAAAATAAAACATTGCCTTTCCCCCAATGACGTAATATTATAGTTACAGGTGGGTATCGGAAAGTTCTCGGACGAGGTAAAAAGAAAATTACTGAAGCATCTCTATACTTCAGCAATTTTCTGAACGCCCATGGCGACAGTTCACATGTAGGAATTCACGACATTTTATAACGTTTTCTGGCGTTTTGATGGTTGTGATTTGTCGCCATGGAGGTTCAGCATTTGGAAGCGAAACTGCAGCGGACATAAATCTACAAATTACTCGCCAAAAGCCTGACCAATCATTTGTAACCCCTCGGTATCAGATTTGACATTATGCCCGCGACATTTAATTCTGGCATTGTACTAGAACTGTCTAGTAATCTTAATAAGAAACCGTTTCTGTACAAATTAAGCAAAACATTAGAAACAAATAGGAAACAAAAAACCTATTGCAGACAGACACAGCATTTTGGCACTAACCAGCGTTATCTTTAACCAAATGTTCATTGAAGAGTACAGACGCAATACGTAAGGTATTGCAATTTTCCGATACGACTTATTACATTGACGT